CCTTAAAGGTACCAAATATGATCACTTTAAAGGCACTAAATATGATCACTTTAAAGGTACCAAATATGATCACTTTAAAGGTACCAAATATGATCCCTTTAAAGGTACCAAATATGATCACTTTAAAGGTACCACATATGATCGCCTTTAAAGGTACCAAATAATGATTCCCTTTAAAGTACCAAATATGATCACTTTAAAGGTACCAAATATGATCACTTTAAAGTACCAAATAATGATCACTTTAAAGTACAAAAATATGATGCACTTAAAGTACCAAATATGCATCCCTTTAAAGGTACCAATTAATGATCACTTTAAAGTCAAATATGAAAATCGCTTTAAAGGTACAATATATGATAAGCTTTAAAGGTACAAATATGATCACTTTTAAAGGCACCAAATATGATTCACTTTAAAGCGAAAATATGAATCACTTTAAAAGGCACCAAAAATGATGCACTTTAAAGGCCACCAAATATGATTCACTTTAAAGGCCGCAAAAATATGAATCACTTTAAAGGCACCAAATATGATCACTTTCAAGGTACAAATATGATCAAATTTAAAGGCACCAAATATGAATCTTTAAAGGCACCAAATATGTGATCACTTTAAGGCACCAATATGATCCTTTAAAGGTACCAAATATGATCCTTTAAAGTACCAAAATATGATCACTTTAAAGGTACCAAATATGATCCTTTTAAACACCAAATATGATCACTTTAAAGGTACCACAATGATCCTTTAAAGTAGCAAATATGATCACTTTAAAGGTACAAATATGATCCCTTAAGGTACCAAATATGATTCCTTTAACAAGGTACCAAATATGATCCCTTTAAAGTAACAAATATGATCACTTTAAAGGTACCAATAATGATCCCTTTAAGGTACCAAATTATGATCCTTTAAAGGTACCAAATATGATCACTTTTAAAAGGCACCAAATATGGATCACTTTTAAGGCACCAAATATGAATGCCCTTTAAAGGTACATATGATCCCTTTAAAGGTACCAATATTGATACTTTAAAGGCACAAATAGATCCCTTTAAAGGGTACCAAATATGATCCTTTAAAGGTACGCAAATATGAATCACTTTAAAGGCACCAAATTGATCCCTTTTAAAGGTACAAATATGAAATCCCTTTAAAGGTACAAATATGATCACTTTAAAGGCACCAAATATGATCACTTTAAAGTCCAATATGATCAATTTAAAGGCGCAAATATGATCACTTTAAGGCACTAAATATGATCACTTTAAAGGCACAAATATGATCCCTTTAAAGGTACCAAAATATGATCCCTTTAAAGGTACAAATATGATCACTTAAAGGCACCATAATATGATTCAAACTTTAACAACGGTAACAAACATGAAATCACTTTAAAGGTACCACATATTGATGCCCTTTTAAAGGTAGCCAAATATGATCCTTTAAAGTACCAATATGAATCACTTTAAGGTACCAATATGATCCCTTTAAAGGTACCAAATATGATCACTTTAAGTACCAAATATGATCCCTTTAAAGGCACCAAATATGTCACTTTAAAAGGTACCACATATGATCCCTTTAAAGGTACCAAATATGATCTCTTTAAAGGTACCAAATATGATCACATTTAAAGTACCAAATATGAATCACTTTCAAAGGTACCAAATATGATCACTTAAAGGCACCAAAATATGATCACTTTAAAGGGTACCAAAATATGATCCTTTAAAGGTACCAAATATGAATCGACTTTAAAGTACGCAATATGATCCTTTAAAGGTACCAATATGATCCTTTAAAGGTACCAAATATGATCACTTTTAAGGTACCAAATATGAATCCGCTTTTAAAGGCACCATAATATGATCACTTAAAAGGCACTAAATATGATCCCTTTAAAGGTAACCAAATATGATCACTATTAAAGGTACCAAATATGATCCCCTTTAAAGGTACCAAATATGATCACTTTAACGGTACCAAATATGATCTTTAAAGGCACCCACAATATGATCACTTTAAAGGCAACTAAAATATGATCCTTTAAAAGGTACCAATATGAATCACTTTAATAGGTACCAAATATGATCCCCTTTAAAGGCCACAAAATATGATGCACTTTTAAGGCACCAAAATTATGATTCCCTTTAAGGCACCAATATGATAGCCTTTACAGGCACCAAAATATGATCCCTTTTAAAGGCACCAAATATGATCCGCTTTTAAAAGGCACCAAATATGAATCCTTTAAAGGTACCAAATATGATTCCCTTTAAAGGCACCAAATTGATGCACTTTAAAGTTACCAACTATGATCAGCTTTAAGGTACCACATATGATCCCTTTAAAGGTACCAAATATGTCACTTTAAAGGCTCCCAATATGATCACTTTAAAGGTAAAAATATGATCAATTAAGGCAACAAATGGAAAGGGAGAGAAATAGACAGAAAATTGAAGATAATGTTGGACTTTTCCCGTTTTTGTGGAAGGGGCGAGGACGGGGGGAGAGGAAAGAGGGGGCGAAGAAGGAGGGTGAGGGGTGAGGAGGGGGAGGAGGGGCGAGAAAGAGGGGAGAGAGAAGGAGGAAAGAAGGGTAGGAGAGAGAGAAGGGAGGAGAGAGGTAGGGGGAGGGACGCGAGGGAAGGTGTGGGAGCGAGAAGAAGGGAGGATAGGGAGAAGAGGGAGGGAGAGGGGGGGCTAGGTGGAAGGGTAATGCAAAAAGTCTAGAAAGTTTTGGAAACAAAGGATAAAACCATTTTGACGAGACTTATTGATAAGGAAAGACAACTTTGCTTTTTTTCTTCTTTTTCTTTTTTATTCTCTTCTCTTTTTTCTCATTCTCCCCCGCTCTTTCTCTTACCTCTCTTTTTTTTACTTTTCACTCTCTTTTTCCATGTTTACGCTCTCTCTCTCTTTCCCCTCTCTCCCTCCCCCCCTCTCTCTCTCTCTCCCTCTTCCTCCCTCCCTCTCTTTCTCTCCTCTCTCTCTCTCTCTCTCTCTCTCCCTCTCCGTCTCCCCCCTCTCTCTCTCTCTATCTCTTTCATCTGATTTTCCTCATACTCCCTAAATTCACTCTTTTCCTCCGCTATCTTCTTCATTTATCTTTTATTTACGACAAGGAAGAGAAGGAAGAACAAAGTGCAAAAAAATATACATTCATATTTTTTTTCTTTTCTTTTTGCTTC